ATAAAATATTTTTAAAAAAATTATTATTATTATTATTATTTTGCCTATCAGGGCCTGGGTTTCACCCTCCCACACCATGACAGTGGGAGGTAAGCTGAGGCCCCTGCTGCCTCTGGGTGCCAAATCTCAACCCAGGCCACGACAAAGGTCAGGGATGATTTTTAAGGAATGCTGGTTATTTATTATTATTTTTATTTTATGTGTATGCATGTATTGTCTGCATGTATGTAAGTGCATCTGTGTCATACAATGCCAGAGGAGATCAGAAGAGAGCATCGAATCCTATAGAACTTGAGTTACAGGTGGTTGTTAGCCACTATATGGGTGCTGGGATTTGAACCTGGGTCCTCTGTAAGAATAGCCAGTGCTCGTAACTGCTGAGGCATCTCTCTAGTCCTGGAATGAACCTTATTTTTAATTTTTGGTCTTTTTGAGACAGGGTCTCCCTGTAGCCCCAGCTGTCCTAGAACTCACTATGTGGACCAGGCTGGCCTTGAACTCACAGAGATCCACTTGCTTCTGCCTCCTGAGTACTGGGATTAAAGGTGTGTGCCACAACACCCAGCTGGAATGAACTTTTTAGAGTAAAGAGAATGATAAACATATCCAAGAGATCACAGGGCAAAATAAAAGAAGCTAGGACAATATTTAAACAAATGAGCATTAGAAAAACATCAAAACTGAAAATCAACAAAATGACAGGTATTAATATATAGCTTTTAAAAGATTTTTTTCTTTGTTTTGTCTTATTGAGACAGGATCTCCCTGTAGCCCCAGCTGGCCTGAACTCACTATGTAGACCATACTGGCCTTAAACTCACAGAGATTCACCTGCTTCTGCCTCCCAAGTGCTCGGACTAAAAGTGTGTGCCACCATGCCCAGCTTAAAGATTTTTTTAAAAGTTTTTATTATATGTGTCTGTGTCTATGTGAGGGTATGTCATGTGTATGCAGGTGCATAGAGGCTAGAGGGTGTTGAATCCCCTAAAGCTAGAGTTACAGGTGGTTGTGAGCTGTCTGACATAGGTACTAGTAACCTAATTCTTCACCTCTAAAGGAGCAACAAGTACTCTTAACTGCTAAGCCAGCTCTCCAGCCACAATATATGCCTTTTAAATAGTAGCTCTATTAATCTAAATTCCCCAATCAAAAGACAGAGGCTGACAACCCAGTGGGCCTTGACAGGGATGATGGAGTATATGGGCTCCAGTGGGGGGGCTATGGGAGGGTGCCATTGGGGAAGGGAGTATAAAGATGATTAAGATTATTTGAGCTGTTCTGTATGAAATAACAAAAAAAAATTTAATAGAAAATTACTTCTCAAGAAAAAAAAAAAAAAAGACACAGACTAAAAGATCAGGATCCACCTATTTGCTGCCTCCAGGAAACACACCTCACCATCAAAGATAGATGCTACCTTAGGATGAAAGGATGGAAAAAGGTACTCCAAGCATGCCAACCTAAGAAACAAGTAGGTATCACTATTCTAATCTCTAACAAAATAGGCTTCAAACCAAAACTAGTCAGAAAAGATAAAGAAGGGCATTTCATACTAATTAAGAAAACAATCCATCAAGAAGACTGTCCCCCACCCCCCAGTCCGAACCCTGTTGCTACTGGGAGGCCGTTGTGCACCAGCCCCCATCTCAGAAAGTTGGGGCAAGGAGAGAGACCAGTGGGAGGAGGGAGGCTTTGAGCAGCAGCGAGTACTTACTACAGGAAGAAAACACCTGGGAGCCTGTGTCAGTGGACAGCTCGTTTATTATGGTGGAAGCAGAGGTTTATATATGAAAGGTTCTAGGGCAAAGAGGAGGGGGTTGGGTTTTCCTGCAGGCTGGCAGGTAGGGAGAGAGAAGGGGCCACTAAAACTACGTGGCCTTTGTCCTGTCCTCTGGTCGCATAATCTACAAGGGACCTGGTTAGGATTAAAGGATTAGAGGCTTAATGGTTTTGCTTGGGGGTTGTTGGGTAAGAGACAGTGTCCCTAGAATGGAGCCGGCCAGCTTCCTGCCGCCCTCACTAAGAGGTATCCAGCCTGGCGGCCATGCTCTACATTCCAGGCACTCTTGACCTATCCCAACAGACATTATGGTTATATACACATGCATAACAAATAGAGGGTCACCCAATTTCATAACACATACTACTAGATGTAAAGTCACAGATTAGTGGGTGACTTCAGTATCCCATTCTCATCAATAGAAAGGTCATCCAGACAAAAAATAAACATAGGAACATGTAACAGTTGAGTTAAATGACATCATAGGTCAAAAGAACTTAACAGACATCTACTGAACATTCCGTCCAAACTCTGCTGAATACACATTCTACTCAGCATTCTATGGAACTTTCTCTAAAATAGGTCATATATTAGGACACAAAGAAGAATCTCAACATATACAGACAAATTTAAGTAACTTCTTTTACTATATCTGACTAAAGAAGTAGAATAAAGCTATAAATAAGAGCAAAATAGATTACAGAAAATTCAGAAGCTTGAGATCAAACAGCATGCTACTGAATGGTGAAAACGTCATTGAATCAATCAGTAAGAAAAATATTTCAACTCCTATAATTGAATTAAAATGAGGACACAATATACCCAAACCTAAGGGAACAATAAAGACAGTCCTAAAATGGAAGATCATAATTATGTGTCTATATTAAAAAATCATAGAGAAGCAGAGCATGGTGATACATGCTTTTAGGTCCCAGCACTCGGAAGGTAGATGCAGGAAGATCTCTGTGAGAGGCCAGCCTGTTCTACATAGTGAGTTCCAGGCCAGCTAAGGCTACCAGAAGACTCTGTCCCCAAAAAACAAAAGTAAAAACAAATCAGAGAGATCTCAAATAAATAATTTAATGTTGCATTTTAAGGTCTTAGAAAAATAAGAGCAAGCCAAACTCAAAAGTGGTAGATGGAAAAATAATTCAGATTAAGGCAGAAATTAATAAGATAGAAGCAAACAAAGCCCCCACAAAGAACCAATAAAAGGAAATTTGGCTCTTTGAAAAGATAAACAAGATTGACAAACCTTTAGTCAAATTAACAAAAAGAAAGAGAAGACACAAATGAAATGAAAAATGAAAAGGGAGACATTACAGCAGATGCCAGTGAGATTCAGAAAATAGTAAGGCTACACCTTAAAAACCCATTTTCTTAAAAGAAATGAATGAGTTTCTAGATGCATGTGACCTACCAAGTTAAGACGGGACAAACTATTTAAACAGATCTATAATAAAAAATGAGATTGAAGCCAGGTGTGGTGCCGCATGCCTTTAACCCCAGCACTTGGGAGGCAGAGGCAGGCGGATCTCTGTGAGTCTGAGGCCAGCCTGGTCTATAGCGAGTTCCAGGCCAGCTGGAGCTACAGGGAGACCCTGTCTCAGAGAGAGAGAGAGAGAGAGAGAGAGAGAGAGAGAGAGAGAGAGATTGAAGCAGAAATTAAAAAAAAAATCTCTCAACTAAAAAATATCCAGGCCCAGGCAGATTCACTGAATTCTACCAAACATTTAAGGAAGAACTAACATCAATTTTTCTCAATTAATTCTATAAAAAAGAAAAGAACAGTTCCAAACTCTTTCTATGAAGCCAGTATTGCCATGATGCCAAAGCTAGATAAAGACACAGCAACAACAACAAAAGAAAATTACCCAGCAATCTCTCTGATGAACATAAATGCAAAAATTCTCTATAAAATACATGCTCACTGAATTTAAAGAACACACCAAAAAGATCATCATGATCAAGTTGGCTTCATTTCAGAGACACCATAAAAATCAATAAATGTAATACATCATATAAACGAACTCAAGACAGAAATAACATCATTTCAGTAAGTGCAGAAAAGGACTTAAGCAAAATCCGATATCCCTTCATAATAAAAACTCTGAAGAGACTAGGAATGGAGGGCAGATACCTCAGCATAGCAAAGGCTACATTATGCTAAATGGAGAAAACCTCAAAGAACTTCAACTAAGATCAAGAACAAGATATGGGTGTTTACTTGCTCCTCTACTCTTGAAGTGTTAGCTAGGGTAACACAGTAAGAGAAAGACAAATAGGGTACAAAGTAGGAAAGGGAGATGTCAAAGTATTCTTTTTAACTTTTTTTTTGATCTTTTTGAGACAGGGTCTCCCTGTAGCCCCAGCTGTCCTGGAACTCACTATGTAGACCAGGCTGGCCTTGAACTCACAGAGATCCGCCTGCACAGAGATCTGCGTGCACCACCACGCCTGGCCTTTTTAACTTTTTTACATTTTAAAAATCTTTTATCTTTGATAATTTCATACATCTGTACAATGTATCTTGCTCGTATCCCCCTGACCCCCGCCTTCCACTCTCCTGAGATCCCCCATGTCCCCTTCCCACCATCATTCTCTCATTTTTGTAACCCACTGAGTCCAATTAGTACTGCCTTCTGGAATACTGACTGATCTTGTTGACTTAATTTTGCACAAGTTTTGTGCAGATAAACACAACTGTAGTGAGTCCAGCAGTGCTTGCCTATGTCATCTTCAGAAGACAGCATTTCAGGGCGCTCTTCTCCATCCTTCAGTTCTGAATTCTTTCTGACCCTTCTTTCATGATGTTCCCCGAACCTTGGGGAGGAGGTGTTGATGCCATTTAGGTCTGAGAATTTAACAGTCACTTATTCTCAGCACCTTGAGGAGTTATGAGTGCTGCATTGATTGTTATCCACTATAAAGAGAAGCTTCTCTAGCCAAAGTTGACAGCAGCACTAATCTATGTGTACAAACATAAACATTTAGAAGGCAGTTTGACAACAGTATTTGATCCCTCATAGGGCCCATGACCTCCTCAGTCAAGGGAACAAGTAAAAACAAATAGGACGTCCTCTGCCTATGGCAAAATGCTTTGTAAATGCAGCTGTTCCCTCTGTTTACAGATTAAGAACCATCCCACGTGCTCCAAAGACATTGCTAGAGGCACACAGGCCCAACCACTAGCTACCATAGCCTGTATTCAAGTTTTGTGTTTCTCATGTGTTTATGGCTCTCCCTTTGGGAAGAGTTCATATACTGGAGACCAGTCTAGTGGTAGTTTGGGATTGGACAGGGCTGCTTCCACAGACTGGGCCTCCACTGGTGTGGGAGACTTCAGATAGAAGGCAGCCACCCCAGAGGATATACAGCATTACCCTGACT